CCTCGTGGTCCCTGGCCAAGAGTGCCTCAGCCCTCGTGGTCCCTGGCCAAAGAGTGCCTCAGCCCTCGTGGTCCCTGGCCAAAGAGTGCCTCAGCCCTCGTGGTCCCTGGCCAAAGAGTGCCTCAGCCCTCGTGCCTCATCCCTCGTGGTCCTGGCAAAGAGTGCCTCAGCCCTCGTGGTCCCTGGCCAAAGAGTGCCTCAGCCCTCGTGGTCCCTGGCCAAAGAGTGCCTCAGCCCTCGTGGTCCCTGGCCAAAGAGTGCCTCAGCCCTCGGGGTCCCTGGCCAAAGAGTGCCTCAGCCCTCGGGGTCCCTGGCCAAAGAGTGCCTCAGCCCTCGGGGTCCCTGGCCAAAGAGTGCCTCAGCCCTCGGGGTCCCTGGCCAAAGAGTGCCTCAGCCCTCGTAGTCCCTGGCCAAAGAGTGCCTCAGCGCTCGTGGTCCCTGGCCAAAGAGTGCCTCAGCCCTCGTGGTCCCTGGCCAAAGAGTGCCTCAGCCCTCGTGGTCCCTGGCCAAAGAGTGCCTCAGCCCTCGGGGTCCCTGGCCAAAGAGTGCCTCAGCCCTCGGGGTCCCTGGCCAAAGAGTGCCTCAGTCCTCGGGGTCCCTGGCCAAAGAGTGCCTCAGCCCTCGGGGTCCCTGGCCAAAGAGTGCCTCAGCCCTCGGGGTCCCTGGCCAAAGAGTGCCTCAGTCCTCGTGGTCCCTGGCCAAAGAGTGCCTCAGTCCTCGGGGTCCCTGGCCAAAGAGTGCCTCAGTCCTCGGGGTCCCTGGCCAAAGAGTGCCTCAGTCCTCGGGGTCCCTGGCCAAAGAGTGCCTCAGTCCTCGGGGTTCCTGGCCAAAGAGTGCCTCAGTCCTCGGGGTCCCTGGCCAAAGAGTGCCTCAGCCCTCGGGTCCTGGCCAAAGAGTGCCTCAGCCCTCGGGGTCCCTGGCCAAAGAGTGCCTCAGTCCTCGGGGTCCCTGGCCAAAGAGTGCCTCAGCCCTCGGGGTCCCTGGCCAAAGAGTGCCTCAGCCCTCGGGGTCCCTGGCCAAAGAGTGCCTCAGTCCTCGGGGTCCCTGGCCAAAGAGTGCCTCAGTCCTCGGGGTCCCTGGCCAAAGAGTGCCTCAGCCCTCGTGGTCCCTGGCCAAAGAGTACCACAGCCCTCGTGGTCCCTGGCCAAAGAGTACCACAGCCCTCGTGGTCCCTGGCCAAAGAGTACCACAGCCCTCGTGGTCCCTGGTCAAAGAGTGCCACAGCCCTCGTGGTCCCTGGACAAAGAGTGCCACAGCCCTCGTGGTCCCTGGCCAGAGTGCCACAGCCCTCGTGGTCCCTGGCCAAAGAGTACCACAGCCCTCGTGGTCCCTGGTCAAAGAGTGCCACAGCCCTCGTGGTCCCTGGCCAAAGAGTACCACAGCCCTCGTGGTCCCTGGCCAAAGAGTACCACAGCCCTCGTGGTCCCTGGTCAAAGAGTGCCACAGCCCTCGTGGTCCCTGGCCAAAGAGTACCACAGCCCTCGTGGTCCCTGGCCAGAGTACCACAGCCCTCGTGGTCCCTGGCCAGAGTGCCACAGCCCTCGGGGTCCCTGGCCAAAGAGTGCCACAGCCCTCGTGGTCCCTGGCCAAAGAGTGCCTCAGTCCTCGTGGTTCCTGGCCAGAGTACCACAGCCCTCGTGGTCCCTGGCCAGAGTGCCACAGCCCTCGGGGTCCCTGGCCAAAGAGTACCACAGCCCTCGTGGTCCCTGGCCAAAGAGTGCCTCAGTCCTCGTGGTCCCTGGCCAGAGTGCCACAGCCCTCGGGGTCCCTGGCCAAAGAGTGTCACAGCCCTCGTGGTCCCTGGCCAAAGAGTGCCTCAGTCCTCGTGGTCCCTGGCCAGAGTACCACAGCCCTCGTGGTCCCTGGCCAGAGTGCCACAGCCCTCGGGGTCCCTGGCCAAAAAGTACCACAGCCTTCGTGGTCCCTGGCCAAAGAGTGCCTCAGTCCTCGTGGTCCCTGGCCAGAGTGCCACAGCCTCGGGGTCCCCTGCCAAAGAGTACCACAGCCCTCGTGGTCCCTGGCCAAAGAGTGCCTCAGTCCTCGTGGTCCCTGGCCAGAGTGCCACAGCCCTCGGGGTCCCTGGCCAAAGAGTGCCTCAGTCCTCGTGGTCCCTGGCCAAAGAGTGCCTCAGTCCTCGTGGTCCCTGGCCAAAGAGTGCCACAGCCCTCGTGGTCCCTGGCCAAAGAGTGCCACAGCCCTCGTGGTCCCAGACCAAAGAGTGCCACAGCCCTCGGGGTCCCTGGCCAAAGAGTGCCACAGCCCTCGGGGTCCCTGGCCAAAGAGTGCCACAGCCCTCGTGGTCCCTGGCCAAAGAGTGCCACAGCCCTCGGGGTCCCTGGTCAAAGAGTGCCTCAGTCCTCGTGGTCCCTGACCAAAGAGTGCCACAGCCCTCGGGGTCCCTGGCCAAAGAGTGCCTCAGCCCTCGTGGTCCCTGGCCAAAGAGTGCCTCAGCCCTCGGGGTCCCTGGCCAAAGAGTGCCTCAGCCCTCGTGGTCCCTGGCCAAGAGTACCACAGCCCTCGTGGTCCCTGGCCAAAGAGTACCACAGCCCTCGTGGTCCCTTTATCAAAGAGTACCACAGCCCTCGTGGTCCCTGGACCAAAGAGTGCCACAGCCCTCGTGGTCCCTGGACAAAGAGTGCCACAGCCCTCGTGGTCCCTGGCCAGAGTGCCACAGCCCTCGTGGTCCCTAGCCAAAGAATTACCACAGCCCTCGTGGTCTCTGGTCAAAGAGTGCCACAGCCCTCGTGGTCCCTGGCCAAATCTGAGTACCACAGCCCTCATAGGTTCCCTGGCCAAAGAGTACCGAACAGCCCTCGTGGTCCCTGGCCAAGAGTGCCATGGTCCCTGAACAGCCCTCGTGGTCCCTGGCCAAAGAGTACCACAGCCCTCGTGGTCCCTGGCCAGAGTACCACAGCCCTCGTGGTCCCTGGCCAGAGTGCCACAGCCCTCGGGGTCCCTGGCCAAAGAGTGCCACAGCCCTCGTGGTCCCTGGCCAAAGAGTGCCTCAGTCCTCGTGGTTCCTGGCCAGAGTACCACAGCCCTCGTGGTCCCTGGCCAGAGTGCCACAGCCCTCGGGGTCCCTGGCCAAAGAGTACCACAGCCCTCGTGGTCCCTGGCCAAAGAGTGCCTCAGTCCTCGTGGTCCCTGGCCAGAGTGCCACAGCCCTGGGGGTCCCTGGCCAAAGAGTGTCACAGCCCTCGTGGTCCCTGGCCAAAGAGTGCCTCAGTCCTCGTGGTCCCTGGCCAGAGTACCACAGCCCTCGTGGTCCCTGGCCAGAGTGCCACAGCCCTCGGGGTCCCTGGCCAAAAGTACCACAGCCTTCGTGGTCCCTGGCCAAAGAGTGCCTCAGTCCTCGTGGTCCCTGGCCAGAGTGCCACAGCCCACGGGGTCCCTGGCCAAAGAGTACCACAGCCCTCGTGGTCCTGGCCAAAGAGTGCCTCAGTCCTCGTGGTCCCTGGCCAGAGTGCCACAGCCCTCGGGGTCCCTGGCCAAAGAGTGCCTCAGTCCTCGTGGTCCCTGGCCAAAGAGTGCCTCAGTCCTCGTGGTCCCTGGCCAAAGAGTGCCACAGCCCTCGTGGTCCCTGGCCAAAGAGTGCCACAGCCCTCGTGGTCCCTGACCAAAGAGTGCCACAGCCCTCGTGGTCCCTGGCCAAAGAGTGCCACAGCCCTCGGGGTCCCTGGCCAAAGAGTGCCACAGCCCTCGTGGTCCCTGGCCAAAGAGTGCCACAGCCCTCGGGGTCCCTGGTCAAAGAGTGCCTCAGTCCTCGTGGTCCCTGACCAAAGAGTGCCACAGCCCTCGTGGTCCCTGACCAAAGAGTGCCACAGCCCTCGTGGTCCCTGACCAAAGAGTGCCACAGCCCTCGTGGTCCCTGACCAAAGAGTGCCACAGCCCTCGTGGTCCCTGACCAAAGAGTGCCACAGCCCTCGTGGTCCCTGACCAAAGAGTGCCACAGCCCTCGTGGTCCCTGACCAAAGAGTGCTACAGTCCTTGTGGTCCCTGGCCAAAGACCATTAAGGATACTCCCCAAGACACAATTCTTCCTCTAAATCTCCAAATAGTGTCTTGAAGCCCACACTCGAGAAGAGAATTACTTACTACCCATTTTGTTACTAAGATGCAAGTCTCAAAACCCTGGACCAGGACTCAAGAAGCATTTACCCAACTACTTACGAAACCTGAACATCTTTCCTTAATGATGGCAGCTTTGTTTACATTTATGAAACAGTTTATGTTCTCCGAGGTTGTTTATAAACAATAACAACCCTCGGTTGTGAAATTTCCACGTTCGTAAAGTGTTTCATAATTATTATAAGCAAACTGCTTTGGCTTCCTTCAAAATTTGTCAGAATAACGTAATACGTCATATTTTTATGGGAATCGACGAATTAAAATTTAAAGCATCGTAATATTGATGTTTTGGTTAGTCACAACGTGTTCTTGCTGCCATACTATCGTGTCAGGAAGGCAGTCATGGGAAATGGGAAAGGTGTCTGTGGGGGTGACAGGAGGAGGGTGTGTGGGGTGGAGGTGGGGAGGGTGTGTGGGGTGGAGATGGGGAGCGTGTGTGGGGTGGAGATGGGGAGGGTGTGTGAGGGGTGGAGATGGGGAGGGTGTGTGGGGTGGAGATGGGGAGGTGTGTGTGGGTTGGAGATGGGGAGGGGTGTGAGGGGTGGAGATGGGGAGGGTGTGTGGGGTGGAGATGGGGAGGGTGTGTGGGGTGGAGATGGGGAGGGTGTGTGGGGTGGAGATGGGGAGGGTGTGTGGGGTGGAGATGGGGAGGGTGTGTGAGAGAGGAGATCGATGTCGTGAAGATGCTGAGAGTGATGAGAACATGACAAAGATGGATGGTGGGAGACTGAGAGAGAAATGTCATACAGAAATGCTCGTATATACCACAACTATTTGTTGAACGTAACAAACCTGACTGTTGTACTGAAATAAAGCCCACTTGTACTATGAATTTTTGAAAAGTACACAACAAGGAAGACAACAATCTCTTCTAGTAGAGCACACATATATATGCACAAAATAGGCCTAAGATGCTGTAGATTCCAATCGCTTATCCAGCTCTTGAGACGGAATAAGTGAAGCTGTATCGTTGATTACTTTTACCTGCTAATAATACCAGTAAATCTTTGTAGGTATTCAGGATATTGTCTTAATCTTAAGAGGTTTATTCTCTAAAGTACCTATACTTTCACTGAGTTGAGTAGCAAGTCTGGGTAACAGGGTACTAGTGTACTAGAGTATACAAGGTGAGGAGAGTGTTTAATACAGAGTGTATACCATACAGGCTCTGAATAACAGAGGCCGGGAGACTCAAGCACTTAGGTCAAAGTGATCAGGGCGGGATTTTGAGGAATTCATTGTGCATTTGTCTATTGTGTAAGGTATTAATATGAAGTTTCTTAGCGATGAAAATCCAAACGTTGTTGCAAAGTTCCAGCTCTAGTCCCTTGTGGCGTATTGTGCCACAGGCGTTTTTCAACACCTTTAGCTGAATGCTGCTTTAAGAAATAGTTCATGATTCGTGTAGTTGTTCTTTGTCATGATGTAGTGACCGTCTTATGTAGATAAGCTTCACATAAGACGACGACGATGACAAGATGACGATTAAACCATCGAAAAGGTGGCACGGGCATGAATAGCCCGTAAGTGGTGGCCCTTTTGAGCCATTACCAGTATCAAGAGCTGATACTGGAGATCTGTAGAGGTGCAACTGCACCCTGCGTGACGGGAGATGTCTCCCGGACCAAGTGTGTGGTGACATAAGACGGCCGCTGATGCTTTTATATATGTGACTGTCTTTTCTGTCAGTAGGACAGAGACTTTTTCTGTCAGTAGGATACCTTCGGGAGTGTCTAGAGTCAGAGTCAAGTAGTTGGTTTCTAGATGGATGAAGATTAAGCCAGCCGAGAGGTGGTACGGGCATGAATAGCCCGTAAGTCTGTCTGTATACAGTTGTGGGTCTAGCCCTCCCGGGGTAGGAGTGAGGGGGTGGAGGGAGCAGTTTTACACAGGGGAGGGGAAGCATCTAGAAGGGAGAGGGGCGTTGTGAAGGCCAGGTGAGGGGCGGTGATTAATGAGTGTGGGGTACCTGGTTTACGGGCTCACCATAGCCCGTGCTACATGGATACTTCGTTCTGAGTAGCTAAATCTAAAACAACAACAACTGTCTGGTGAGAGCCAGGGGGCTCTATGACGAGTGCTCACGATGGACCAGGGGCTCTATGACGAGTACCCACGATGGACCAGGGGCTCTATGACGAGTACCCACGATGGACCAGGGGCTCTATGACGAGTGCCCACGATGGACCAGGGGCTCTATGACGAGTGCCCACGATGGACCAGGGGCTCTATGACGAGTGCCCACGATGGACCAGGGGGCTCTATGACGAGTGCTCACGATGGACCAGGGGCTCTATGACGAGTGCTCACGATGGACCAGGGGGCTCTATGACGAGTGCCCACGATGGACCAGGGGTTCTATGACGAGTGCCCACGATGGACCAGGGGGCTCTATGACGAGTGCTCACGATGGACCAGGGGCTCTATGACGAGTGCTCATGATGGACCAGGGGCTCTATGACGAGTGCCCACGATGGACCAGGGGCTCTATGACGAGTGCTCACGATGGACCAGGGGCTCTATGACGAGTGCCCACGATGGACCAGGGGGCTCTATGACGAGTGCTCACGCTGGACCAGGGGCTCTATGACGAGTGCTCACGATGGACCAGGGGCTCTATGACGAGTGCCCACGATGGACCAGGGGCTCTATGACGAGTGCCCACGATGGACCAGGGGGCTCTATGACGAGTGCTCACGATGGACCAGGGGCTCTATGACGAGTGCTCACGATGGACCAGGGGCTCTATGACGAGTGCCCACGATGGACCAGGGGCTCTATGACGAGTGCTCACGATGGACCAGGGGCTCTATGACGAGTGCCCACGATGGACCAGGGGGCTCTATGACGAGTGCTCACGATGGACCAGGGGCTCTATGACGAGTGCTCACGATGGACCAGGGGCTCTATGACGAGTGCCCACGATGGACCAGGGGCTCTATGACGAGTGCCCACGATGGACCAGGGGCTCTATGACGAGTGCCCACGATGGACCAGGGGCTCTATGACGAGTGCCCACGATGGACCAGGGGCTCTATGACGAGTGCTCACGATGGACCAGGGGGCTCTATGACGAGTGCTCACGATGGACCAGGGGCTCTATGACGAGTGCCCACGATGGACCAGGGGGCTCTATGACGAGTACCCACGATGGACCAGGGGCTCTATGACGAGTGCTCACGATGGACCAGGGGCTCTATGACGAGTGCCCACGATGGACCAGGGGCTCTATGACGAGTGCCCACGATGGACCAGGGGCTCTATGACGAGTGCCCACGATGGACCAGGGGCTCTATGACGAGTGCCCACGATGGACCAGGGGGCTCTATGACGAGTGCCCACGATGGACCAGGGGGCTCTATGACGAGTACCCACGGTGTGTGTGTGTGTGTGTGTACTCACCTATTTGTACTCACCTATTTGTGCTTGCGGGGGTTGAGCTTTGGCTCTTTGGTCCCGCCTCTCAACTGTCAATCAACTGGTGTACAGATTCCTGAGCCTACTGGGCTCTATCATATCTACATTTAAAACTGTGTATGGAGTCAGCCTCCACCACATCACTGCCTAATGCATTCCATCCGTTAACTACTCTGACACTGAAAAAGTTCCTTCTAACGTCTCTGTGGCTCATGTGGGTACTCAGTTTCCACCTGTGTCCCCTTGTTCGCGTCCCACCAGTGTTGAATAGTTTATCCTTGTTTACCCGGTCGATTCCTCTGAGGATTTTGTAGGTTGTGATCATGTCTCCCCTTACTCTTCTGTCTTCCAGTGTCGTAAGGTGCATTTCCCGCAGCCTTTCCTCGTAACTCATGCCTCTTAGTTCTGGGACTAGTCTAGTGGCATACCTTTGGACTTTTTCCAGCTTCGTCTTGTGCTTGACAAGGTACGGGCTCCATGCTGGGGCCGCATACTCCAGGATTGGTCTTACATATGTGGTGTACAAGATTCTGAATGATTCCTTACACAGGTTCCTGAACGCTGTTCTGATGTTAGCCAGCCTCGCATATGCCGCAGACGTTATTCTTTTTATGTGGGCTTCAGGAGACAGGTTTGGTGTGATATCAACTCCTAGATCTTTCTCTCTGTTCGTTTCATTAAGTACTTCATCTCCTATTCTGTATCCTGTGTTTGGCCTCCTATTTCCACCACCTAGTTTCATTACTTTGCATTTACTCGGGTTGAACTTCAACAGCCATTTATTGGACCATTCACTCAGTCTGTCTAGGTCATCTTGTAGCCTCCTACTATCGTCCTCAGTTTCAATCCTCCTCATAATTTTGCATCATCGGCAAACATTGAGAGAAACGATTCTATACCCTCTGGAAGATCATTTACATATATCAGAAACAGTATAGGTCCAAGGACTGACCCCTGCGGTACTCCACTCGTAACGTCTCGCCAATCTGAGACCTCACCCCTCACACTGACTCGTTGTCTCCTGTTACTTAGGTACTCCTGTATCCAACGGAGTACCTTCCCTTTCACTCCAGCCTGCATCTCCAGTTTTTTCACTAGCCTCTTGTGTGGCACTGTGTCAAAGGCTTTCTGACAATCCAAAAATATGCAGTCTGCCCACCCTTGTCTTTCTTGCCTTATTTTTGTTGCCTGGTCGTAGAATTCAAGTAAACCTGTGAGGCAGGATTTGCCA